CTACAGGTAAAGAGATCAAGAACTTCAATGCTTCTTCTAATTGCTTGTGTTTGGCTTTTGGTCATGAYGAGAGTATTGTTGCCATGGGTTTCTCTGATACCACTGTGCAGGTACAGGTACAGATATTATAGACACTGTTTATGAACACATTAAAGAATGGATGGATGGATGAATGAATAGATGGATGGGAGTGGATGGATGAGTAAATAAACAAATGAATAGATAAAAGATAAATGGATAAATACACATCTTCGGAAACGCAGGGCTTTCTGTTGTTGCATCAAGAGGTTGAGCATTAAACAAAATGAAAAAAATAGGTAAATAATGAAAAAAATGGGAAATGGGCTGGGAAGATGGATGAAGAAATGAATGATTTAAATAAATAAAAAAAGAAATGTTACAAAAAAGGGATGAAGTCTTTGAGCACACAGGAATCCCTAAAGGAACCAAAGAACAGAATTTATAATGCTGTATTTTATTTATAGTTGTGGAATACTAGTACATATGCAAGTCTTGGCAYGTTTAGAGGACATACTGGTTGGGTACATTCTGTAGCTTTTTCTGCTAATGGTTGTAGCTTAGTGACAGGTTCTGATGATGAAACAGTCAAGGTAATCCATCTGTTTCAATTTCCATTTTCAATTCTAATGTTTCATTTAATCCTTCATTGGAGGATTAACGTCAGAAACATCCAGTAAGTTGTTTCACTACATTTTTTACGATGTTAAATTTATCTTTTTACACAACTGTTGCTTTAGAAACACATGGACACAGCTCACACTTGTTTAACAGTAACCACCRTCATAATCTTCAAACCCTTTGTCCTTGATTGTAACAATGATRATAAGAGATTTAATTTTATAACTTAGATATGGTCAGTGGATTCTAATGTTGCAAATGATGTGACCTCGCTGAGAAGGATATTTGATGCCTTTTTTGGTAATGGTGATGTTTTAGTTGCTGTCACAGACACCTTAAATAAGCTTTTGGTGAGTAGCACAAAAAACTGTCTGTCTGTCTGTTAGTCTATCAGCCAGTGTCTCAGTAAGAAAGTAAAAATCCTGCTCATATCTTTACTTTATTACTTTCCAGCTATATAAAGGTTACAATGG